ATATTAAACTATTAACTGTTGATATTATGAATAACTGATTGCAGTAAAAATATTACCTATTAATCGTATCAGACTTAACCCTCTATTGCACAACGTTGCCTCAAGGCAACAAACTCATTTTCCTCACTTTACCATAACATTATACATAATTAAAGACATTAATTACCCACGATAGGGTTAACAATAAATGGAGGAGTTTGAGTAAGTCAGTAAAAACCATGTACTTGGTCATTCGGTCTCTTAGTGGGCACTTTTAAACCTCTTTTTAAACGTTCAGTATCGATTTATTTTGTTATGAGAATTTGCAGAAATATATTTGTTGCCTAGAAGCAACATCGTCTGACAGGGGAATGGATTTAGCCAGTCACAAGCCAGCTCTCACCACTTCAGGGAACACAGGGTCTATATCATTTCTTCCCATTGTCACACAGTGTTGCCTCAAGGCAACACACCCCAAAAGGACCCCTGCACACATTATTAATTTTTTTGCAAGTTTTTGAATTTAATAATCGGGTCCAAAAAAATACATCAAGGATCATTTTTGCAAGAAAAGTGAACTGATTTTTTTTTAGTTGCTCTCATGATGCGTGCAGTGGAGGGTTAAAGAATGCAGCTCCTGGTGTGTAAGATGCTCTATAAGCTCTTTGAGGGGTTATAGTAACTGACACAGTAGACGTTTTCCTCAGTCTGGTCTGATGGTTCAGGGTTAAGTGTGCTGCCCTGAGGGTGGGGGGTGGTTCAGTGTGTTCCTGAGCATGTTTGAAGGGGGTAGTGTGGGGGTGGTGTATCTACAGCCTTCAGACATGCACACTTCAACCTGTCTCCAAGCAGAGCCCCCCCAAACGTCTGAGTCACCCCACATTAAAGCCTCAGCAGTGGCGCCTCAGTAAGTGCTGCAGCTCCACACCTATCAGCCATTAATTACCTGCCCAGGTGCTTCACACAGGCCTTTAGAACACAGACAGATATAAGGGTTCATCCGTCATCGAGAGCCACTCTCCAAATCTGCCGTTCCTTCATTTGTCAAATCCAGCATGTAATGAAATTCCCAGTTTGCGTATCGTTTACTATGTAAGTAAAAAACACCAGCTGCTCTCTACAGTGGGTGAATATTTATGATGGACCGACAGAGATGATTATATTAATCTCATTATATTAATGTACAGCACATTTAAATTAATAATAAGAGAAGAACCAGATTTAACTGACCAAATCGCTTAAAACCTTCAATCAGCTGCTCTGCATGACTATATTTCTGATATTTTTAGAGCTTAATATTTTAAAACATTTATAAATAATATTTCGGCCATCAGGTGTTTTGACACGGTACAATGTGGCCCTCTTTGAAAAAGACGTTTGTAAATGTAAATGTTGAGAGTCTTGAATTCTGGCTGATGTTTGAACTGAATCTTACTTATGCTAATGAAGTCATTTAGAGTTATTTTAGAGAGCCAAAACCAGAAAATAGAAATGTTTTAATTAAATAAGTTTAACAAAAACACTGATAATGCTAATTCATGGTAGTAGCACTGATCATGTTAGCGCTCAGCTAGCTGGGTTGGCTCTGCTCTGTATACAGACGTTTAAAACTGGAAACAGGCGTAAATAACATTCTTTACTCTGAGTGTCTCAGTTTTTAACCCCTTCTTTAAAGGCTGGAACTGAAAGTCTGTCTTTTAGTATTGGAGCGTTAGCCTGTTAGCCTGTTAGCCTGTTAGCAGAATAGCTTGTTAGCTGGTTAGCTTTCTGCTGACCAGTTCAGTCGGCTCCAGTGAGAGGCAGAATGTGTCCAGTTCCACATCCGTATCCAGTCGAACTGGCAGTTTTTTGACAGATTTAAAAAGAAACTGGGCTTTTCAGGCAGCGATAATGAAGCTAAATGGTCTTATAAAGTTCTGCTCTTTGTTTGTGAGGTTGCTGTTCCTGCTGTACTTTCCTCTTCACTCGGCTGTAGTGACCGCTGCAAACTGCAGGCTGTTCCAGAACGTTCCAGAGTCACATGAAAAATAAGGAACTGAATTTTACTTGATTGAGTGATCATGTAACATTATAAACACCAAAAATATCAGATTCAACTAAGAGATTTAACGTCAGGACGTCAGTCTGAGGGGAGGAAACCTGATAAATGGAGTTCTGTCTCAATTCAAGAGGTTAATTTATATAACAGTTTTCACAACAGGTCACAAAGCAGAACATCCCCGTCTGAGCATCACCAAAAAAGGCTCAGTCAGAGCCAGAGGAAGGAAAACACACACTCATCAGGTTTGGTCCTGATGATGAATTTGACCTGGATTATTATAGTTAACCACAACTATCACTAAAACCAAAACGAGCAGCCAAGATGTTCTTGGTAACTATAATAAAAATAAAAATGACAGTTTTCAGAAACTAAAATCAAATCTATAATGTTCACTGCAAAACTAACTAAAACTGAACAGAATTCCTGAAATTGAGACTTTAGAGTTCTACTCTTAACCTGAAACAAAAACTAAACATTTTAATACACACTTAAGACTGAAAATAATCAAAATAGAAAATAAATTAAAATGTACATGAAAAATGACACACAATCCTGCATTTGACAAGAATTCTGAGCACATAACGAGCTTAACCTAAATATTGTCACTGTCCAAAAAAAATCTCCATTTTTGTTTGTTTGTATTTTTGTGCATCATTTGAACTCGACAGCTGTGCTTTACATTGTGTGAGCACTTCATGATGATCGGACCAATAGAAAAGCTCCAATATCAGATGGACTAAAACATGGTTACATTAACCTGCATTAAAAATGAGGATTGTTTTTGCCCTCTGCTGTAAAGCTGCTGTTTTGGGGGAGCATGTTTTTCCTTGGACAGCCTTGATATGATGTTTATGATGTTTTATTTTTGCATATAGTTCTACATTAATACCAGTCATATTTACAGTGATGTTAGGTTAAATGTCTGTATTGTAACAGATATTTCAGTGAAGTGCTGACTGAGGTGGATCAGAGGGCAGCGCATTCACTGATGGGGAAATAGTCACGTGACTCAGTGAAGGAAAATATTTTGGATGAATTTGTGCCCAAAATTTGCTCTTTCACTCACACACGCTCAGACTAACCTTACAATTAGAGATATCACTGTTTCATCATTGACTCAGTTTCCTGTTAATTTAATGATTATTTGGTTGTTACTGATATAAATTTAGATGAATCTGCTTTATATTTTCAGTCTGTTTATTCTGTCCATCCTATACGCCGTGAGCAGTTCACACTGTTGTGGCTGTCACTGTATCTGTCTGTGTTTATGTGCTGGAGACCCCTGGGAGCTGTGAGACCCCCTGAGTGATGTGTTTATGGAAAACAGTGCAGATCTGTATCTTCCCTGGAGGCTGACCGCTGTTCTGTACATCAGCAGGACAGCAGCGTTTCCCTGCCCGGCTCCTGCTGTTTACTGGGCCGGCAGGACTCTGATGATGAGATGCTTTTTCTGACCGTGTGTTTGGTGTTTGGTTGCTTTGTGTTCAGGTACAGTTCGCAGGCTGGATCTCCTGGACGTGCTGGTCACTCAAAAAAATGTGCTGGTCACTCGAAAAAAGCGCAACAAAAATTTCAGTTTGCACAATTTTAAAAAAGTAGTCAGTCTGAGCAAAATGAATGCTTTTAGATGCTGCTACTGTGTTTAGCTGTGTTAGTGTACTTTAGTCCATGTTTATAGATAACAGAGAGTCACACAGAGTCAGAAACCACAGAATCAAGACTATCAGATACTGAACATCTCACGGTTTGAGATGAGCATGTGGTGATTTAGGCATGAGGCTAATTGATGGGGTATAATCCTGTTAGCTACATTAGCTTTGTGGCTCTGGTGCTAAAACTAAAGAAGCAAAACATGTCTTGGCTCATTGGCTGCGTCTGGGGTAAGGGTGAGGGGCGACTGATTAAATTAGGATTTTTTGCCAAACTATTGCTTTAGGATGCTGTAATGAATTCGGCCCCTGATGCCTTGGAGTGAGCCATAATATCCTCCTGTCTGCCATCACCGATCTAGGGCCTTGTTCAGACTGTCAGCCCAAATCTGATTTCTGTCATATCCAGATTGTGTCCAGATTGAATTTTGATAGTCTGAACAGCAAAAAAAAGCACATGAAATCTGATTTTTGCAGATCAGATCCAAATCACATTCGGAGGTGGTTTGAAATGCGACTCTAGTCGGATTTTTACAGATGCGTCTCAGTCTGGACGCTCTGGACACTCTAATCAGATTTCAAAGTGTCTTTTGCGTCACTCGCAACACGACAACAATGACGATGTCGAATCCAGAGTGATGAAGTGCTGGGACTGAAGAAGAGCTCCACAGACTCATGATGATGAAGAGAGTTCTGAGGAGTTTGGAGGGGAGATGATGCTCCTCCATCTCTCCTGCATCCGCGTTTAAAATCCACATCACCAGCATAGCTACATAGTTACTGACGCCTACGTCGTTACCACGGCAACCCATGCCAATAGACTGGTGATGTCTGGGCACACAAATCCGATCTGATCGCTTGAAAATAAGCAGACAGGCACCTCAAAAGATCTTATTTGAGAAACAGATCTGATTCACCTGCAGTCTGGACACAACTTTGGAATCACTGGCTCTGTGGCTACCTGGAAGGGCATTCACATCTGGCAAGAAACTGTGCAGAATCTTAGTGGTGTACCTCAAGGCTTAGTACTAGGTCCACTTTTCTTTTCCCTCTGTACCTACTTTCCTGGCAATGTAGTATCCTTATATAGCCTTCCCTTCCACAGCTACTCTGATGACACTCAACTCATCCTCTTTTCTTCAGATACTCAGGTTTCTGCTCACATCTCAGCGAAGTTAAAGTTGATGCAAGTATAAATAAAAAGGAAATTTTGATCTGATAAAGAATAAAAATTAAAAGGATGATCAAACACGTGGATCGTGTTTTTAGTGTTTCCCCTGTACTTTACTATGTGCTTTAAGGTCCTGTTTTGTTTGTGTTCTGTGTTCCAGGTCACCTGTAACTGCTTCAGTATCAGTAATGGTGAGCTGCAGGATGTTGGAGTGGGGCTCTACCCCAGGTGAGTGCAGCTAACACACAGGTGTATCTCATAGGCTGATGCACCTAATGGTTAAAAACCCAGTGCACTCAACGAGGGCCTTTTACCCACTTTCACCTTAACCAACTACGCTGATTGGCTCTGTTTACTGAATGTTGGTGGGTGAGCTGTGACTCTGTGCTCTGATGGAGTTCGTCTCATCACCGTTACTGCAGATACAGCCCTGCAGGAGGATCAACACCAACAACACAGACCAGAATGACCACAAACACACAAACAGATATGTGGACACTTTAGATGCGTCTCCAGAAAACACTACGAGGGGAAGATCAGCCCTTTAATCACGCAAAGCGTTTTTTTAAACATTCATGGTTCTATATAGAACCCTTTTCTTTACTAAATGACCCTTGAAGAACCATCTTTAAGAGTGAAAATTAAAAATGAAAAATTTCTATGGATCTGAAATTTTCATTTTATTTATTTGTTTGTTTATATATTTATTTATTTAGAGCTTTAATCTCGTCAGTTTTAACAGTTATTTTTCTTTCAGTTTACATTAAAATTTAGATTTAGTTTTTACAGGCACAGACAGGTTGTTGTGATTTGTAGATTATAGATTTATGTAGATTTTATGTGATGTTTCTATATAGAACCTCTTTGAAAATAGTTCTATACATTTTTTTTATATTTTCACCCAATAGATCATCTGTATCGTTTATTGAACGTCGGTTGAATCTCAATCAGGGTCAGTGTGAGGTTGAGGTTTAGGGTTTGGGCTGAGGTTGAGGTTAAGGTTAGGATTAGGTCAGGTTTAGGTTTGTCTGAATTAAGTGTTACCAGCATAAATGCCTAAAATGACTTTTATTTTGATGCATTGAAAACATGCACATAAAGGAGACATGGCAGAATAATTGATCTGTTTTGTTTTTATTCAAGTGTTTTATGGGAAAATACTGGACACAAATAACAGACATCCTGTCACTGACTGTACAGCAGTTAGAAGGCAGAGCCCTGTTAGCGCCGTCGCTCCGTCTCCCTCGGGTCTGACGCTAATCCTGTCTGTGTAATTCCTGAACCGTGCTGACCTACGTTAGCTCCCGCGCTAGCTGCTGCTCCGCGGCCGGATGAGACGCGGCCGAATCCGACTAATCCCTGCACCCGTGCCTGGTGCATGCTGGGGGATTTGTGCTGTCATGTGCTCAGCGCTCCTCAGCCCATCTCCTGGGGTTCAGGCGTGTCTGAGACGGGCGCTAAAGCTCCAGCAGCCACACCGGCTATTGTACTGCTATCAGACGCAAACGGCCCACAGCTGGAAATCCACGAAGATTTGCAGACACCCAGCGGAGCAGGAACGCCGTCATCCATGACAAACAGCCAAAGATCGTTCCTTCAGCAGCCTGTGTTCACGGCAGAGCAGCAGATGGAAACACGGAGCGCTAATTGGAGCCTCTGCTGTCCACACTGTGGTTTTACAGCACGTCTGCATTGCATTTGAGAACGTTATCACTGCGAAACTGATTCAGGTGTGTTCAGGTGTGTTCAGGTTTCCTCAGGTGTGCTCAGGTGCTCAGGTGTATCTAGGTGTCTGGAGGAACTTTTCTGGTCACAGCTTCTTCAGAAATAATTAAAGCTGCTGTTTGGAAATGATTCAGTTCGGTTTTATTTGAGTAGCACTTTCTGCACTCTTACAGTGAGGTGCCTTAAAGGGTTCTTTAAGCAATGCCATAAAAGAACCATGTTTGTAAATGAGATATGTGAGACTATAAAGAATCTTTACATAACATAAAGGTTCTTTACCAGTTTACTCATTTACATTAGGTGAAGTTTCTTTAAGTGTTAAAACCAAGAGGAACCAAGACTACAAAGGAGAACCTCTCTAAGAGCATCAGGAAGAACCACTGACAGGAACCAAGGCTCAAAAGGAGAACCCAATCTGCTCTTAGCACATACAGGATGGTAGATGTATAATGTGACGGAACACATAAAGGGTGGTATATGTAGAACGTGGTGGAACACATACAGGATGGTAGATGTAGAATGTGACGGAACACATAATGGATGGTAGATGTAGAATGTGGTGGAACACATACAGGATGGTAGATATAGAACATGGTGGAACATGTACAGGATGGTAGACATAAAACGTGGTGGAACATGTACAGGATGGTAGACATAAAACGTGGTGGAATACGTTCAGGATGGTAGATGTAGAATATTGTGGAACACATAATGGATGGTAGATGTAGAACGTGGTGGAACATGTACAGGATAGTAGATGTAGAACGTGGTGGAACACGTACAGGATGGTAGACATAGAACGTGGTGGAATACGTTCAGGATAGTAGATGTAGAATATTGTGGAACACATAATGGATGGTAGATGTAGAACGTGTTGGAACACATACAGGATGGCAGATACAGAAACGTGGTGGAACATGTACAGGACTGTAGATGTTGAATGTGGTGGAACACGTACAGGATTGTAGATGTAGAACGTGGTGGAACGTACAGGGTTGTAGATGTAGAACGTGGTGAACATGTACAGGATTGTAGATATAGAACATGGTGGAATGTACAGGGTTGTAGATGTAGAACGTGGTGGAACACATACAGGATTGTAGATGTAGAACGTGGTGGAACATGTACAGGATAGTAGATGTAGAACGTGGTGGAACATGTACAGGATAGTAGATGTAGAACGTGGTGGACCACGTACAGGGTGGTAGAACGTGGTGAAGGTGAAGGTGAGTGTGAGTGTGAATGGAAGGCAGTGACGTCAGCGTTGAAGCTCATTAGACTGTAACAGTAGCTGATGAACTCCGGTTCTCAGCTCCACGTTCTGCCTGGTTTGTTGATGTTTCTTGTTGCCAAAACAGAGAGCAGACTGGGCGGTTCGAGCGGAACGTCCCTGCGCTGTGTTCTCCTGTTTGCTCAGCGTTTTTCTCGTCCCTCCCTGTAATTTCGTCTCATTGTCTCAGTTCTGAGCGGCGGCGCTGGGGGTCGCCGGTGACAGGTCGTTCCGCGCTGAGCTGAAGCTCCTCTGAAGGTTCTGTTCAGGCTTGTTGAGGAGGAGAAATCGGCTCTGAGGGGACGGAGGACAGGAGGAGAGATCGGCTCTGAGGGGACGGAGGACAGGAGGAGAGATCGGCTCTGAGGAGACGGAGGACAGGAGGAGAGATCGGCTCTGAAGGGGACGGAGGACAGGAGGAGAGATCGGCTCTGAGGGGACGGAGGACAGGAGGAGAGATCGGCTCTGAGGGGACGGAGGACAGGAGGAGAGATCGGCTCTGAGGAGACGGAGGACAGGAGGAGAGATCGGCTCTGAGGGGACGACGGCCGATGAGTGAAATATCAACAGCAGAGATTTCAGGAAGTGTTTGATGAAAAATTTAATTCATACAATTCAACACAGTCGAATACAGAACAGCACAAACAGCAGATCAGCTCAGATCTTCAGGAGATGATGTCATCAGGCCCAGTAGTAGCGTGTGTGTGTGTGTGTGTGTCTATATGAGTGTGTGTGTGTGTGAGTGTGTGTGGGTGTGTGTGTGTGTGTATATGAGTGTGTGTGGGTGTGTGTGTGTGTGTATATGAGTGTGTGTGTGTGAGTGTGTGTGTGTATGAGTGTGTGTGAGTGTGTGTGTGTGTGTGTGTATGAGTGTGTGTGTGTATATGAGTGTGTGTGTGTGTGAGTGTGTATGAGTGTGTGTGTGTATGAGTGTGTGTGTGTGTGTGTGTGTGTGTGTGTGTGTGTGAGTGTGTGTGTGTGTGGTGTGTGTGTGTGTGTGTGTGTGTATTGATTGTAAAGCGCCCTTGAGCATCGGGAAAGGCGCTATATAAATAAAAGTGATGATGATGATGATGAGCTGTAAATATCACCTCTACTTCACCCTCTATAAACAGAATAAATAAAAATAGAATATAATTAACATCCAGAATGAAGTTCTAATAAAGTGAGTGTATGATCTGTTTTATGCAGACATAATTTAGAGTGAATATTCCGTAAATCTGTGAGACTCAGGAGACTTGATTTCACATTGATTCACCTCTGAACCTCAACATCGTTCTGATAAAATTAACATCCAGAATGATGTTTTGATAAAAGTAATATCAAAAATATTTTTTATAAATAATGTCCAGAATGTAGTCGTACAAAAAATTGTAGATTTCTGAGAATATTAAAAATATATAATAGTGTGAATAAAAAGAATAATGTATCTAATAATAATAATAATAATAATAATAACAATAATGTAGTTTTAATACATTAAATTTATACATATTATGATAACCTGACACAGAATTATAATAAATAGATAAATATAAATAGATAATTAAAGTAAATGATGTTTACAGTTTGTAATATTTAAATCTGTATGTTTTTATTGAATAAGGATTATTAAGGTAGAGGTGATTCTGCAGGAATAATGCGATCTGAGAATACAGAGTGTGTGTTTATGGTTCCGTGTGGGCGTCTGCGGTTCCAAACGCAGCGTCTCTGAGAACCTCTCCAGAGTCTGAAATGCAGGATTAGAGTGGGCAAACACAGCCGGGGGGCCGACATTAACGCTCAAATTAATGTTTGGATTTAAACTGTGTGTTCAGGAAGTTTTGGCTCTGAGTGCCAGGATGAGCTAAACTCCAGCTTTGCTTTAGACCTCCAAGAGAACCGCTAACGTTCTGCTAACAGTAAGATGAGAACCGTCCCGGTGAGGCGGCCGTGTTTGTGTCTGTGAGGAAGTGACCGAGCTGGATTTACTGCAGAGGCCGTTTGAGCTGCTGTTTCAGCAGAGCGAGGAAAACACAGGTCATTTGTTGGTTGAGCTTTAAAGATGATTCCTGCAGCATTAGAGGAGCAGGAGAACGAGCTGTTCTCACATGCACTCACCAATTAGGCCCTCACAGGTGATCTTGAAAAGCCATGCAGATGCACCTGTGACGTTCACTACAGGACAACAGTCATTCATTTAACCTCCTCTCAGAACAGGCAGTGAGTACAAGTCACTGATTTCTCAGGAGATGTTTGAGGAGATTAGATAAAAGATAATTCACTTGCATAAAGAAACAACAAGCAAAAGCTCCAGAGAAAATGGGGCTCCTAACAACCACCTGGAAGAGCTGGTCGACCCCAAAACTGCCCCATCAGATAAACAGCACTTAAAGCTCTCATCTCTGAGAGAGAGGAGAAAATCAAGCTGATCAGATCTGAAAACATCCACAGGTGTTTCTGTCCATCCTTCCACTGTGAGAAGACGACTCAGCGCTGTGGGTCTGAAAGGATGTGTAGCTGATCAAGAAGAACCTCACTGAGAAAAGGAGACGGACACATCAAACAAAGAAGCTGAACGATGGACTGACCACCCCAGAGTCCAGACCTCAACACCACTGAATGGGTTTGATTACTTCAGAAAATGATCAACCAGCTTCTAAGACTGAGCTTTAGAGGTGTGTCTGCAGATTCTTTGAGGAACTGAAAGTGAGTCTCCTGAAAAGAGTGGAAGCTGGAATAAAGGCAACTAAATACTGTCCAAAAGTTTGTGGACACCTGCTGATCCAGAGTTTCTTCTGAAATGAAGGTGTTAATAGTGACTTTGTGCTGCAGAAACAGCCTCTACTCTTCTGGGAAGGCTCTACACTAAATCAGGGCTTCTCAAACATTCCCTTACCTGCGCCCCCCCACCAACAATGAGAAAAAAATATTTATGCTGTGAACAGAATTGTGCAAAATAGGTCCCCCTTCATTTATTCTATTTCCACTTAGATAAACTGTTGAGTCCAAGTTATTCATTTTGCATTTTGGGAAAAAAGCAAATAACACATCACATCACACAGCAGCCTCAACACCTCAATCTGTTATCAGAAGTTTGAGTGTTCAGTCAGTGAGTCTCATAGGTAGAGCGTGTCCATCACAGCATCCTGAGCAGCAGCGTTCTGCGGAGGAGACTCCTCTGCTTCTACAGCGCTGAATGATCCGACCTACCGAGGACTCAGAACTGGATTCTGTGGTTTCTCTGCTCCTAACTTCAAAATCACACCTGACATCTGATTAGTCAGTGTTGGTGAGTTCCCCATCTACCACCACTCCACAGTCAACGGGGTGACTTGGCTTGTTCAAGTTCAGATTTAGCTTTGGCTAGTAGTGTTACCTGCTTTCACCTGTTGCACTTTAATTAAGGGCTGTTTTGGGTTCCGCTGTAACTTCACCTCCTCCGCTGTTCATCATCTAAGCTAAAATATTAACTCTACCTCACGTTCTGGGAGCAAAACTGTAAACTGACAACTTCACACTTCAATTACGCAATATAACACAAGAGGGAGCATCGTAGATCATCACAGCCGTGATGTTATTGGCGATAACACACTCCTCGAGTGTTCTATTGCCTTAATACCACAGTTAAATAAATACAGTAATAAATTAATAAACTGGGCCGTGAACGCGGCGTTTAATATGTTTTAATGTTCGCAGTTCCTTCACCAAATTATAGTTCCTTAACGAGCAGCTCGTTGCTACGTCAGAGTAACGAGCTCCGCCCACTCGCTGCTCAGTCTGCTGTAAGCCTCGCCTTTTGTAGTACAGACTGAGCCATAAAACTGCTGCAATATCAAGTTCAGCTCAGTTTTGTCAGTTTTTCCAGATCAGTATTAATGTTGTTTTGTTCCAGCCAGTCTGTAAAGCATCTTACAGCCCGTTTAGTTTGGCGAATGGTGTTGGGTTCATTTCTGGCTGATTCCAGGTTATTTAGCTGTTCTTCTGTCTCAGCTGCCGACTGAAAAGCTGCTCAGTGGTGATGACAGTTTGGGAATTTAGTGTCGTCTCATCTTCAGAGTCTGACCAAATCGGCTGTTGGTCAAATGGGATCTTAAAACTGTCCATTTTCTGTTTGTGGCAAAGTAAGAAGTAAAAACGTTCAAATGTCTTGAGCGTCTCCTACAGCTGTCAGAGTCGTCTCAGTGGAGTGATACAGTGCCTCTTAACCAATCAGCTTGCGTGGCTGGAACTAACTGTGATATAATACTGAAATATGTCCGATCGTCCATTTAACAACACTCGTTCATAACATCCTTTACAGCTGTTTATGTTAAACTGGTACTAACTTTTACAAACAAATGGGAACAAACTCTCCTGCCGTCCCTCCAAACTGGCTCTGCACCTTTATGGTAGTAGCCTGCACCACAGAGGCTCATGGGAGTGCAGGGCTGAGAAGGATACACAGGTGCGTCCTCAGAATTCGGCTGAAAGAAGGACACATTTCTCGGCTGCATTTCAAGGATCTTCCATGTTCTTTTGAAATGGGACGGTGCCGATGGTGTGTCCGGCCGAGAAATGGAACCTTCAAAAGTCGCAGCCCCTAAAATGAGACACTGCATACGTGTCACTCCTTCATTCCAGCTTCCGTTCTTTTCAGGAGACTCACTTTCAGTTCCTCAAAGAATCTGCAGACACACCTCCAAAGTTCAGTCTTAGAAGCTGGTTGATCATTTTCTGAAGTAATCAAACACATTCAGGGTGTTGAGGTCTGAGCATCATTATTTGTATCCTGATTTGTCTTTCTGGTTCTTGGACCACCCCATACTGTACACTTCAGACCTCCTAGACAAAAAATGACTAGATGTTCTAGATAAGCTCTGCAAATAACAACTACTCCTAACTACCACAGTAAATTAATAGTCATCACTAATGTTCTCTGTGAGTGATAATTCAGTAACAGTGTTCTCGTGTGGTGGTGTCTAATGGAAACCCTTCTCTGTGTGTCTGTGTGTTTAGCATGTCTCTGCTGAACCATGACTGTCGGCCGAACTGTGTGGTGGTGTTTCTGGGGAGGAGACTGCAGCTCCGAGCCGTACGGAACATCCGGGCTAATGAGGAGGTAACAAACTCACAGCCGCCTTAAAGCTCATACAGAGATTTATACCTGCAGTCTTCATACACACAACATAAACATCTGCTTATGAATACATTACAGTACTGTGGCGTCAGCAGAAACAGGAACACTGGAAAGGCCGTGCTTCTGCTGCGAGAACGTGTTCTTTATTAAACACCAGCAGAAAGCACAGAGCACTGGGGGGGGTCTCCACCCGCCACACACTTCACCCTGATGGTGACCCCCCCACTCCCACACACAAGACCCCAGAGCCACACCCCAACACAAGCAACGCGTACACTTGATCTAAACTAACAAACAACAACATTAACAACACAAACAGTTGCGAAGGTGCGCGACGCCTTTGCGTGTTGCCGTCTGCAGAGCCACGCCTACAAAGACTCTGGGAAGCCAGCACAGCCAATAGCAGGTCACTGCCGTATTTTAGCGCTCTGTCTAATATAGAGCTGTTTAATTAAACACAGCATTAGTGCCGAAAAATAGATCTAACATTACTGAGCGTTACACATCATCAGCACCCCTTACACTCAGCATTATCATCCAATCACCAATATCCAATCAGCAATATCCAATCAGCAATATCCGATCATCATCCAATCAGCATCATCCAGTCATCATGATTCAGTCTTCATTCGATCATCATCATTATCCGATCATTATTATTATCCAATGAGCATCTTCCAATCATCATGATCAGTCATCATCATCTGATCAGTGTCATTAAATCAACATCCAATCACCAATATCCAATCAGCAATATCTAATCATCATCCAATCAGCATCATCCAGTCATCATGATTCAGTCATCATCCGATCATCATCATTATCCGATCATTATTATTATCCAAAGAGCATCTTCCAACCATCATGATCAGTCATCATCATCTGATCAGTGTCATTAAATCATCATCCAAACAGCATCATCCAATTATCATGATCTAATCAGCATCATCCAATCATCATGATCCAACCAGCATCATCCAATCTTCATGATCTAATCAGCATCATCCGCTCGTCATCATCCAGTCAGCATCATCCAATTATCATGATCCAGTCAGCATCATCCAATCATCATGATCTAATCAGCATCATCCAATCATCAGCCAATCAGCATCTTCCAACCATCATCATCCGATCATAATCTTATCATTATTGTCTGATTATCATCATCTGATTACCATCATCTGATTACGATTATCCAATCTGCCTCATCCTATCATCATCATCTGATCATCTTCAACTGGGGCCGTATTACGGAAACTTCCTCCCTTTTAATCCTAAGTTCAGATCTGACAGGTCAAGATAAGATTTTACACAAATTCATATTACAGAAGCAAATCTGATCTTCATTTAGGAATTTTATCTGATCTTACAGCATCTTATCTCCAGTTAGGAAACCTTAACCTACTTGAATCAGAGTCGACAATCAACTGTCATGTTTGTTTCCTATCAACAGACCATAAACACACAGCTGACGCGTAAACACAGTCAAAATAATGTTAAAATGTGAGTTAAGCTGCTGTTACTGATGTAAAAAAGGTCAAACAGAACTAAAGTGTGATAAACTGTAAGCTGTGAATACTGTGAGAGCGCCCCCTGCTGTTTATCAGAGCGTCGCCGCTCCCCAGTTTCAGTCTCCATTTCCCAAACGCTTTAGCCGAGCGCGCTAACGTTACTCCTCCTAATAAACAGACACACGTTCAGCTCCGTCTCCTCATTATTCACCACCATCACTGTAATATTTCATCATCAACATTAACACACGAAGGTGATCAGAGGGGCGGTGGAGATCGAGTCTGCAGCGTCTGAGATCTTTAAAACGCAGAGTTAGAAAAGAAAATCATCTCACAGTGAAAGCAGCGTTTTACAGTAGGAATAAATGGAGCTCATTATGCTGGTAGTGAACTATGCTGCTGACTCAGCTGCCTAAAAACCATAGAAACGGACCTTAAACAGAAGTGAGGACCCTGTTGGGGTTCATCCTAAAGTTAGGACAGGATTTAGGAGGTTTAGTCTAGTTAGGATGTTTGTGTGATGCTGTTTTTCTTAAGTCGTCATGGAGACTAAACACATCAGATTTCAGAGTTAAGAAGTTTCTGTAATTTGGCTCCTGATCATCGTCATCCAGTCATCATCATCTGATCGTCATCCAGACAAGACACTGACGTTTATACTGCATCTCATTTCCCTGTGCAGGATTAGCATATTTAAATCAGGTGAAGTGTAGGCGTGGCCTAAATGGACTGCCCTGAGTTAAGTTTATAAAACGTCTTTTACAGTTTCCTGAGTTCTAGGTGTTAACCAGGTACGTTTGAAGTACTGGCTGAATATCTGGAACCTATTGGTGGATCTAGACAATTTAACCAGGGGTGACAAAACGTCAACAGGGAGTGGCGTGTCAGTGTCGCACTGGTGGTTTGGGGAATTTTCATTATCTTTTGATAAATTTCATGATCTTTTTGACGTAGTTCAGATCTATTTAGTACAGATTTATAAACAAACGTCACAAAACAGCAGAACAGCAGCCAACGTGCTCGTCTGCTCTGAACAGTTGAGTTTGTAAAATAATAACTTGGTAGATTTCACTGCACTGAGTTTGTCACTCAGTCTTATTCTACAGTATGTCTACTGTAATGAGGCAGAACAGGCTACAGTGCATGTTTAACCAAAACAATTTTGTAGGCTGACCAGAAGCTGCAGAGGTTACAGTTTGTATCTGAAATTGAGATTCACTATGAAGCGTAGACTTTTTCTAATCATGCCTTCAGATGAATTCAACTGCAGTGAAACTCTGAACGCTGACTGAAGCCCGAATGCAGCTCTGCTCTGAAGAATTTCTCACTATTTACTTGTTTCGTTCGTTTAGCTTGTGTGTGCGTTAGTCAGACACTTCTGACCTACATGCAGGACTGTTATGGTGCTGTTGTGGGATTTAATCCAGTAAACCAGAGATCCCTGAACGTTTTGACCCGAGGGTGAAACGATACCAGACTGATACTGATTTTAAACTGGCAGAAAACACAGAGTTCAGGAAATTAACAGTGCTTATCGATGGAGAGAGAGGAGCTCTGGTCTCCACAGTGGAGAAATATGGGTGAATGATTATGTGAAAGTTTTCTCATACAAATAACAAAACTCACAAACAGCTGCCAGCCTCTTCGCTAACGTGCTGTGTTTCGTGTAAGGGAATTTGAATAATGACGTAAGGGGCTTGGTAAGCTCATAAATGAGCACAGGCCCAGAGCGAGGCCACGTCTGAGCTCAGTGAGGTTATGGAGTTCATTAGCTGCAGTTCCTGCTGTTTATCACCAGATTAGACTGAAGCTAATTGAATTAGCAGAGGCTAATGCTGCACACAGGTCCAGCAGTGAAGCTGGGCTAATTAATGTCCATTTAGGGCTAAATGACTGTGGACGTGACTGGAGTGACTCAGCCTGCCACACTGACCTAACGAAGCACTGATTACTGACCGTACACCATGTGACCTGACTGGACTGCGGATCCCTTTAGCTCTAATACAGGATGTGAGTGTAGGGTGATGTAGAGTGAACATGCTAACCGAGTGCTGATATTGTGGAGCTCAGAGAAGTTCACATATCTCGAAAACGGTAACTTTACAGGAGAAGGAAAACATCTGAACAGTAATGTGATGAGATTTTACTCCAATAACTGCATTTCCAGGTCATTTTGGGCCGTTTGTTTTGGTCAATTCTCCATGAAATTTACAGACAATGTACAGGACAACAGGCATTTTCAAATTACGCAAAAACTGAAAAACGACAAAAATGGAGATACAAGTCTTCCGACAGCAGCAAGATGTCCTGCAATAATCCATCCCACGCAGCTTGAATATTCTCACACAGTTCCTGCAGATTTTGCGCTAGGGGAACCGTCTGCCAATGGTGCTGGCACTAACAGGATAACCCATGGAGGGCATCACTGCTCGCTGAATGTCTGCAGTCGTGGCTGTTGGGTCACTCAGCATTTACTGCTAAGAAAGTAGGCTACATCATCACTCCTCGCATCCACAGCCCCAAATGACTACCTGAGTTCTTCCTGTCCTAACAGATATATTACCTCAGGCTGAGTAGACTGTAGAGTCCTTAGCAGAACAACTCCACTGAATCAACACTGCAGAACACATAAAATAAACAAACACATTTTGTGCTACAATGGTGTCAGAATAAAACATTTGTGTGCATACACACTCACACACACACACACACACACACAGTACTGTAGTATGCTGAGACACAGGATTTTGAACTATTTATTTGGCAATAAGTGTGTTTGTGGTCACCATATGTGATTAATAAAGACATCTAAAAACAAACAGTTATACAGTAAGAAATCACAAGAATTTCTTGTTTTAATTGGTTGATTTTTTTGTGAGCTAGTTTGAAAAACAAAGTTTGGTTCCAGATTTATCCTCCAGACTTCGCATGGATTTATTGAATTTCTTCAGCAGCACCTGATTTAATTGAACGAAGTGTATTGATTAGATAGAGTGGATTTTGGATGATAACTACCAATAATACTGGACTTCTGCCAGGAGAGGGCAGGAAATGGTTAAACAAACACATTGTCATCCATAAAACCAGTGTTTTTCTGGGGACATTAACTCTTACTTACATACATATTATATATATTACATATACATATATCACTTGCGGTTAGCCCCGCCTTCACAATAAGTGTCTATCAGAATAACCCAGAGAATAAACACTAGACCACATTAACCTGGAATTAAGTTGACACACATTTCTTCAACACACTGTTATTACATATGTGTATGTATATATGGGTATGTTGGGATTTTATTAAGGTATTATTGCTAATGCTAATACATATTAGTTAATGTTGAATGAAACGCAGCCAGTAAAGCCTGAAACTAAACTGAAGCATCAGTGTAGTGAACAGTGAAGGACACTGTACAGTAGAGCAGAACACGCTGTAAGAGGCCCATAGCAGACTGAACAGAACACATTCCTACTCATCCATATACACACAGTAATTGTAGGAAACAGGCCTCTGCTCTTGTTAGCGGAGTTAGCCTGTTAGCGCAGGACTCGGACAGTCTGACAGCACTCCGATCACACTCGTCCTGTAATGAGCAGGGACTGGTGGGAGGTGGGGGGTGCTGGAGGCTTTAGATAGCCCAGTAAACTCTCTCTCCTGCAGCTCTCATTACCCCTCTGTTTGTTAACCGTGCTGCTGGAGACCCAGAGCTCTGCAGTTTAAACTGTTCCCTCAGCTCATCAGCTGGGTTTCAGGACACTGTGTGGAGCTGTGGGTCCCCAGAAGCACCGTTAACAAACACTGACTTACACTGTAGCACCTGGGACTAATTATCGTCCAACATTTATCTACAGGCTGTGTGTGTATACAGTACCGCAGTGAGGAGCTGCGACTGTTGGAGGTAGGACTTCAGTTTGGGTCGTAAATAAGTTACAGTTTATTTTTGTAGTGCTTTTTATAACAGGCGTGTCCCAAAGCAGCTTTACAGAAATATCTGGGTACGAGCATCACCAGTGGTGACAGTGGCAAGGAAAAACTCCCTAAGAGCAAAAGAGGAAGAAACCTTGAGAGGAACCAAGACTCAAAAGGGGAACCCATCCTCCTCTGATCCACAGAGGATAAGGTTAAAAACACGTAAAACTGAGAAAGAAACACCTCTATGGTAATACTAACTTCGGCTGGCGCCCCTATGAGATTTCCAGTTGTATGTTAGCACTAAGATACAGCCGATTCACACGAACATTTTTGGCAGTGCTAGATTAAACACAGTCACTCAGACAGTAACAGACAGTCCACATCGTAACTGTTTCACAAAAACGTTGTCTCTCCATCTCCAGTGCTGTTTCTTTGCCTTTTTGCATGAATTCAAAACTCCAGTTATGCTCTGCATTGTGGTTTCAGTGGAGTCATGATGAATGGACCAATAGAAATGGGCCAAATTTACTTGGGTAAAAAATATTTTATATTAATTTCCATTAGAAGTTGATATTTTTCCTAGCAATAATATATTTTATTGTTCATCTTGTATCTGACATTATCAGATGTCTGATCTTGTGTGTATCAGTGTTACAGTGACTCTTATAGTAAAGAGTCCATAGAGCTGCCGCCGCTGTTTAACATTCCTAACAACAAACCAGAACCTGCTTAGACTACGACTCATATTCGCACTCAGTGACGTATCTAGAACCTCCAGAAGGACTAAAGTGATGTTATTTGGTCCCACAGAGCATGATTGGTTCACTTCCTTTGTATGCTGGTAGTTAATCTAACGTGTAAGACCTTCAGTCCAGCTCCTGAAGTCCTGACCAATGGGAGAGCAGCTCAGCTGTATCTACCCAGATACCACAGAGAGAACCACCCTGATTGGACAGTTTTCTGTTGGGCTTTTTAAGATTTTTTTGTTCTGCTGTACTGAGTTTGTGCTCTTGTCTGAAATGTTTCTGTGTCTCTATTTTCAGTTAACTATCAGTTATACAGAAGTGCTGGCGCCCCGTGTGGAGAGGAGGGCTCAGTTACAGCAGCAGTATCACTTCCTGTGTCAGTGTCAGCGCTGCAGCAGAGAGGACACGGTAACAACACACACACACACACACACACACACACACACACACACACACACACACACACCTCCATCTGTCATCACTCTCCTCCTCTCTTCACCTCCCCTTCATTTCATAACTTTTTTCCTCTTTCACTACACTGACTGTCAGTGTTCTCTTACGTTACAGTCAAACAGTGCGGTTTCGTTCATTTCTACTCTTATTGTATGTGACCAATCAGATCGTTAGGGAGTGCCACAGTGTGTTACATCATGCGTTACGTCCACACTCAAACCACACACTGAAACAAGGGTTGGAAGATGGAAGATTCAGACGGAGATTTCCACATAAATTTCCACTTTTAAGATGAATATTAGGCCCTTTCCTGACCTGCGTTTCGTCCTTTCTGCTCCGCCTGTCCTCTGTGATCATCACCATGGCGACAGCAGCATCTCAGGACTAATGGAACGTAATGAAACAGAAGGACGGAGTTGGTCCGAATGGGAGACACACTGTGTAACAGCGCTGCACCATGCAAAATGTGCATTATGGTAAATAACAGCTCTTCATGAAGTCGCCGTGGAGGCGATTAACGCGCCGGGGTCTTTTTAACGCTGCAGTGTTTTCTCTGGCTTTCTAGACAACAGCCAGTCAAAATCCCATTATTCACACAGGAGAATTTCCACAATCACAATCACAGCAGCACCTTCATGCACTCGTTTGTTTTGGAAAACGGTAGATAACAGGATCGTATCTTCACTGTTTTTGACGATAAAGAGATGCTAATTGAGTAAGTGCATACTTTAGTGTTGTTGTGTTGGGATACACACTCATGAGCAGTGGGTACTGGAGGTGTGGCAGGAACCTGTAAACGAGGAGTCGAGGTCTGCATGGGCCTGATTATTAATACCTGCACCGCCCGATTCAACCACTAATCACGTCCACTTGTGATTCATGTCCACTCCCGCTCTCAGTATCCAGCACTATCGTTGCCTGCACCTGCCTGCCTCCCACCTGTGTTTGCTGTAATTCGCTCCACTAGTGTAGGACATGTCCACCCAAATCTTGTGACGTGGCGGAGCCTCCAGGACCATCACACCTCCACATGCCCAGCCACCAAAATAAACATTTCAATGTTGCGAAAGTGAAGTAGCTGAATATTTAGTGTATTTTAGGCTGATCAAAGCCGAGTGAAGTTTTTAAGCCGAAACAGACACCGAGGCTGCGGCAGAGTTAAAAAGCCGAGGAAATTGTCGTGAGATTTGTGTGTAAGTTATTCACTGGATGTTCTGCAGCTTTGCGTGTTTTGCTGTGTGTGATCACTAACACGTTTTTCTCTGCTGCTGATTTGTTTGTCTTTTTTTCGCTTTTTTCGCAAGATGTTTGTTTTTAGTGGTAATCTCAGTGCATTCACTCACACAGCTCCTCCCCAACAAGAACCATGACCAACAGGAGTGGGTATCTTTGACATCTACAGCAGACCACCGCTCTCTGGACCACTCAGGGCTCGAGAACAGACCACCGCTCTCTGAACCACTCAGGGCTCGAGAACAGACCACCGCTCTCTGGACCACTCAGGGCTTGAGAACAGACCACCGCTCTCTGGACCACTCAGGGTTCAATCACAGCTTTTACACTCGGCCAAACAAACTGACCTCTCAGGACGGACAGCAGAGAAAGGCTGAGGTGTGAAAATGTCCTTAGATGCAGTCAGAGATCTTCATGATGTGATGTGTTCTGTGTCAGTGAGTCAGTGAGGAGAGTAACTGGAGGAGTGCATGCAGCAGGTGTGTGTGTGTGTGTGTGTGTGTGTGGGTGTGTGTGTGTGTGTGTGTGGGTGTAATGAGGTGGTAAAGGTGTTGCTGTTGTCCATCTGTCTCTCCAGCCTCCAGACACACAGTGAGGAGAATCCAGCATTCAGACACTGAAGCCTTCATATTGAATATCCTTCCAGTGCACATTTCCACTTCACACCCACACAGTGTCTCTCGAGTTTATACTGACAGATATGAACACAAAAGCATGTATTCATAAGCAGAAACAACATGCTGAAAAAAAGATGGTTCTTCAGGTTTTCTTCAGTGCTGTGAAAAAGTACTTGCCCCCTTCCAAATCCCGTTGAGATGCTGTGGTGAGACCTTAAACAGGCAGCTCGTGCTCAAAAACGCTCCGATGTAGCCGAAATGAGACAGTTCAGCTCAGAGGAGTCGGCCAGAATTCCTCCACAGCGATTTAAAAGAGTCAGCGCAACCTATCGCAGACGTTTGAGTGCAGTTGTTACTGCAGAGGGCGGCACAACCAGTTATTATGTTTGGGGGGGGGCAATTTCTTTTTCACATGGGTGATAGAAGTGGGTGATGCCTCCAAGCGTGCATATGAGACTTATTACAACGTACAGATTCATATCTCTGAGATCAGGCCAAGGTTAATCTGTCAATCACTAAAGCCCCTCCTCCACCTGGAGTTTATTTACGTTATTAAAGATGCTGTAATGACCCCCCCGCCCCACCCCCATCCTCTAAAACGCCAAATTTCACGCGCACTAATTGTGCGAGCCGTATGTCAGACTCCATTTCACATTCTGATCTCCGTGGCTGTCGCGCAGCCCCCCGAGCGTGAAATGATGTTTCTCACTGCTGCTCTGACCTGCAGTCAGGGGTCCGTCCAGGACTCTGATGCTCTGCCGTTTGTTTGCCCTTCTGACCGACGAAGAGACTCTGCTGTTAAAGTGAATAGCCTAAATTAGACAGATCACTTTATTAATCCCAGAGGGAAAGTCGCCTATTACAGCAGCACAAAGTGCAGTAAAGAGCAAAACAAAAGCAACTATTGCCGTAAATGGAAGACAAAGTAAAGAGGTATAATAAAATATACTAAAACAACCATAAAATATAATGTGCAATACAAAAATAATTAAAATCACATAAATATTAAGCAGATGCAGTGGTGCATGTGACATCCAGTGAATGAACTGAGTGACTAAACACTGTAAACAATAACATATGATAATAGTTGTTTAACAGTGCATGTAAAGAGTAGAGAGATATCATGTCCAGCTGGTGCTCAGTGAGCCTGTCCTGTCAGTAGCTCAGTGTACAGTAATGCTGCTGTTTCACAAACAAATGTCTGTTTTGTTGCAGTGTGGTTATGTAATCCAATTCACAATATTTACTGACAGCCCCGCACTCTCAGAAATGAAGGTACTAATCTGTCTCTGGGTCAGTCCCCCTCCTGTCACTGGGGTGGAACCCTCAAGGCTCCATCTCAGTACCTTTAGTCAGGGAACATAACTGAACCATAATCCACTGAAATGATATGTTCTAAGCTGTACTGACTCCACACACCCCGTCTCGTCTCCAGGCTTTTATTTTACTGTTCTGTTTAAAACATTCGGTTATGAAAAGGTACAAATACGAACTTTTCACCTGGAAACACTTATTTAAGGTTCACAATCAGACCTTAAAACCACTGTTGGAGCTTTGAGGGAACATTTACACTGTTTGTACCTTGATGAACAGAAAATGTACCTGAACAGAACCTTTATTAATAACAGTGTAGTACCTAATGTAACATATCAGATAGAAACATATCATGCAGCATATTACACATATGTGACTCGCCGGGGAGCCAGTGATTGTATCGGGGTGGTCTTGGCCCCCCTTGATGGCTCCATTGACTGTAACTGGTTACTGGCTGGTTTTCTGTCAGTTATGCTAACAGTTATCGGTTAGTTGGCTTCCTGTTTAGATTCTATATGACTTCAAAATCTTGGTTATGACATTTTAAGCTTTACTGAACTCCAGCAGATCTGACTGAGGAGTTACAGCCTCATCTCCATCACCATCAGCTGAGGTGCTCACTGCAAACTCCCAGCACCTCTGACAGCTCAGCTGGTGGAAGATCATTTTCTTCTAGAGCTCCTGAACTCTGGAACAGCTTTCCAGACAATATTAAAAATGCAAACTTATTTTTAAATGTAAAAAAATAACCCTGGCTACCTCAGGTGGACAAAACGCAGCATCCACTCAGCACCTTACTATTGCTGCGCTATATTAAACCCAGATCACAGATCCATAGTAGGTGACGTGGTTTGAGATTCATACTTAGAAAGGTGGTAATTTAGAGGGAGTTATATTAACAGACACATGCTGATAGCCTCTACAGTGCCCCCTGCTGGAGTACAGAGTTCAGACATCCCATGGTTGATAAATACGAATGTGTATAATGTCAGAGAGAAGATACACTCTTTTAAAACATGCATGACTGTTCGAACATTCATCACTGTGTCCTTGGAAATGCATCAAAGCCAGTCAGGTGATGTTGCTGGTAGGTGGGGTTTAAATAACTGTAATATGTCGTATCATTGATTTCATAATAGTCGTTTATCATTTCATGTTTCATTCTGATGTTTTCACAGTGTGAAATGTAGAAAATGGTACAGTTAAAAAAAAAACCTTTCAGGTAACACTTTTTATTTGGACAGTCCACTTTAGATGTTTGTGGATACTTAATTTACTTTTAAGTTACATTCAAGTAAATATCTACAAAATATCTACTAAATACCCTTTTCAACTCTAAACCTGCTCTGATCCTAACCTTAACCTCAACCTAAAACCTAAACCCACCCCTCACCCTGGTCCTGGTCTAAATCCTAACCCTGACCCCACCACTGTTTAGAGTCTCAACAGATAGTCTGTTAACAATTTGGACATCTGTAGAGAATCTATAGGGGGCTATACAAATAAAGTGAGACCCCCTTTCAAAATGTCTGACTGATGCTGTAAATCCGTCACTGTGTTTCCAGAACAGCCAAACCAACAAAGAGAGAAACGCTGGTGATGTGGAGTGACTCTTCCTGAATGATGAGAATTCCCATAATCCCTGCACTCTGCACTCTGCTATTAGTATTATTAGTGCCCTCTGGACGTTGTGTCCTTGTTGTCCTTTCAGCAGGTGGTGAGTCATGACTGCCCCCTCAATCAGAAACATCCACAGCTCACCTTTAATTACCCTCTACCTGTCTGTCCCTGCACACCTGCACACCTGCAGTGTCAGCGATGGTGATGACCGTCCAGTCATTCTCCAAAAGCACAGCAGGACGCTGAATAATGCGTCTGCAGCTTTGAGTCACTGAGCCACTAAAGAACACTGTCATTAACGTAACACGCTAGCTGAGCGGGTTCTCTCCATGTTAGGGTTGTGGTGGGGGGGGGGTTATTGGCTGATATTATTTTGCCCCGCCCACTGGTTCACAGTGGTGTAATTACATTCTGATGGAAGTTTATATTAATATACTAATTAATATATTAATTAACCAAATACGTATTTGGATATTCTAGTTGGATTCTACCAAAAACGAGCGCTACAGTGATAAATGACGTTTGTGCCGAGAGTGGGCGGAGCTAAGCCTTCAGTAAAGCATATAACGTATGGAAAATGTAGATAGGCTTGGATGTGATTTGACAGAACATGCCAAAATAAGCATATTTCTGTTGAGTTTTGCATTTTAAGTTGACATGTTGTTGATAGAATCCATCCAAAAAAATGATTGACGGGGCCAGAATCGTCATTTCTGCCTGCAGAGTTTTGTCTGAATGTGGCTTTGAAAAACCCGCTTAGTGCTTTTTAGCTTCTCTGTAGTGAAGCTTTAGAACATGGACCTCATCTTGAAGTATTAGTGACTAATTAAACTCTCATTAGCTCTAATGCAGCAAACTCCAAAATTCATTTGGCACTATCTAGAACCTACAGGAACAAGATGGCACCAGTTACACGTTAATAAAGTGTCATCTGGATCATGATTTGTGTGAATTGAGGCGCTGAGGTTTTAACAAAGTGTTTAATGTGTATTATTACAGCTAACGATGCCATTATTAGAGATTTATGTTCTAATGCAGGTCATAAAGAGTAAAGCGTAATGCAGAGTTAATAAACCACTAATTGGGCTTCACTGAATTAAGAAGAAGACCTTAATAAACAGCTCATCCCTTAAACATTTCACTCAAGATCAAAACTTGTTTTAGACACACAGAACTTTGGAATCTCTTGTCGTAAAAAAGGTATATTTTATTAATAATTCAGTGTAGATTAAAATGAAACTGAAACGACTCATTATATAGTAGAACGTGTGAACTGCGACTGTTAGAGCTCTGCCTTCCATAAATGTCAAAATTCAATCGAAAAAAGAAAAGAAAAAGGCCCTCTACACTCTTAACAATGATGGTTCTTTAAGGGTTCTTCAGTAAAATAGCTCTATATAGAACCATGAACACAAAGAACCAGTTGCCTGATTAATTGGTTCTCTGCATGGTGAAATGGTTCTTCAGACTGATGGAGAATGTATTGTATGTATTGCACCAAAAAGGGTTCTGCTGTTGTTACGATGTCAAGCTTGTAACACCTTTTTGGTGCTGTATAGATAGAACGCTTTTCAAAAGAACCATATACAGCACACTTTCCATCAGTCTGAAGAACCATTTCACTGTGCAGAGAACCCTTTAAGCACGTTTTCTACTTTCTTTTATTGTTCATATTAAAGCTTTATATTGCAGGTGAACTGAGTAGCTTCTGTTCATCCCTCCTTCTATTAAAGCCCTGGTGGAGCTCTGATATGAGCCGTATGTGGTCAGTCTGTGTCCCGGCGGCTCTCAGCAGGTCAGAGTGGTCAGGCTGTGCTGGTGGAGGATCGTTATATGGATGTTGTTCACTCTGCAGGTGCTGTACAGGAGTGTAAACCCCGCTGAGGCTGTGGGCTCCACACCTACAGCAGGATCGATACTCACCAGGGAAATTTACTCCGGATCTAATGACCACGACGAGCCGAGGCTCGCAGATCTGTTCCGCTTCGGGTTTCTGTACATCCAGTTCAGTCCAGTTCAGTCCAGTTTTATCTGTGTAGAGAGGTTTTGATCAGACAGAGACTGTTTTGACACTCTTTACAGAAGAAGTGCATGATCTTGTATAAGGTCTCTAAGAAATGAGGAAGAACCACTGAGAGGAACTAAGACCCCAAAAAGAGAACCTCCCCAAGAGCATGTGGTAGAACCACTGAGAGGAACCAAAGTTCCTCGTCACTTCTCTGCTCATTGAAACGTTTCCTGGTTCTACAGTTATTCTTCCTTTATTTTTCCCAAACACAAAACCACGGCAGGAGAACGTCTTACACCCGTCAGGTTCTCCAGACGAGTCACTGAATCTCATGTCAGCTGCTTTTTTCTGCCACAACTCAGCCAGAGTCCCTCATTAAGGCATCAGGAGAGCGAATCGTCAGTGTTCTGCTGCTGATCGTCAGTGTTCTGCTGCTGATCGTCAGTGTTCTCCTGCTGATCGTCAGTGTTCTGCTGCTGATCGTCAGTGTTCTGCTGCTGATCGTCAGTGTTCTGCTGCTGATCGTCAGTGTTCTGTGCTGATCGTCAGTGTTCTGTGCTGATCGTCAGTGTTCTGTGCTGATCGTCAGTGTTTTGCTGGTAATCGTCAGTGTTCTGCTGATCGTCAGTGTTCTGCTGCTGATCGTCAGTGTTCTGCTAGTGATCGTCAGTGTTCTGCTGGTAATCGTCAGTGTTCTGCTGATCGTCAGTGTTCTGCTGCTGATCGTCAGTGTTCTGCTGCTGATCGTCAGTGTTCTTCTGGTAATCGTCAGTGTTCTGCTGCTGATCGTCAGTGTTCTGCTGCTGATCGTCAGTGTTCTGTGCTGATCGTCAGTGTTCTGCTGCTGATCGTCAGTGTTCTGTGCTGATCGTCAGTGTTCTGCGCTGATCGTCAGTGTTCTGCGCTGATCGTCAGTGTTCTGCTGCTGATCGTCAGTGTTCTGTGCTGATCGTCAGTGTTCTGCGCTCTGTGTCTGCAGGACCGTGAGCTGTTGGCTGGTGATGATGCTGTGTGGACGATTCTGAGAGATAAACTCCCTCAGCTGGAGAAACTACAGGCTGAGAACCGTATCCTTCATCAACCTCACACTCTGTCACATTCAGATGGGTTCATGTTTATATACGTGTGTGTGTGTGTGTGTGTGTGTGTGTGTGTGTGTGTGTGTGTGTGTGTGTTCAATCATTGCCTAGAAAAAAAATCTTTAGATTAACTTACATTAAAAGAAAAAAAGCTTTTATCTTCTCCTTTAAAGTTAGTATTTTGGAGATACTTTTTTTTGGTGTACAGTGATGATTTTTTTTAAAGACTTGTATCTTCCTACACTGAAAGTTCTGAATATTTGGGAACTCCTTACTGTTTCCCCCCAAAAAGTGTCAGACAAAACTGAAGTCACCTGACCTACAGGCACCACCCAGCAAGCCCTCGCGGTTATCACAGTCTTTGCAGGCCGTCGTCTGCGCTCGGGGCTCGGGCTCCGACGACAGCCATTGGAGAGGGCGGGTTGGGCGACTGACATCAAAGTTGGCAAAAGCAGTCTTTATGACAAACATTGCCTGTTGGAATAAGTGTTTATCAGTATCTGTGTAGGTTTGTGTCAGTTGTGGTGAAGAGCTGATGTAGGTGCACTGTGGCCTCCTGAACTCTGACCTTCAGTAAAATATTACCGATGATGTGCATTATTAACTCTGGGCGATCAGCTGCTGCAATATAATTGTTTAAAGCGCCCAGTTTATGATTATGGCTGTGTTCAGACTGCAGGCAGAGCAGGTTTGTTTCCCAAATCAGATGTTTTGAGGTGACTGTCCGCTCTGTTATTTGCGAGTGATCAGATCAGATTTGTGTGTCCAGACATCACCAGTCTATCTGCATGGGTTGCCGTGGTAACGACGTAGGCGTCAGTAACTACGGAGCTACTGGTGACGGATTTCAAACGCAGAGATGGAGGTTCATCGTCTCGCCCTCCACACAGACACTCTGTCAAGTCGCGGTCGCGTGGCGAGTGACACAAAAGACTCTTTAAAATCTGACTGAGCGTCAGACTGAGACACATCTGTAAAAGTCCAGTTCGGACTCGTGTTTCGAACCACCTCCAAATGTGGTTTAGACCCCGTTGCAAAAATCAGGTTTGGGCTGTCAGTCTGAACACGACCTGGACGTCACTAAAACTTCAGCACCCAACAGTTCACACTACACACTGTATCAGAGCATCACTTGTGGTCTATTTTACGTTTCCTCTGTTTCAGTGCAGATTTAACATTTATCCCATTAGGAACTTTTATAGAAACTGAACTACTGATTTAATAGTGTTTAAATTGATGCTACAGTTCAAACACTAAATTAATTTACTGTTTGTGCATAATATTGGTGTGTATAATTTCATATCAAATTAAAAACATTCTGTAGTATTTAAAAGCCGTGGTTGCATTTATGTAACATTTTACCAAAATTCCCAAAAATATAAAAAACATGTTTTTATAATCGGAGGCTTCATAAAACAGCTTTAAAAAGGAAAATAAATTTCAATAGAGTCAATACCTGGGTCTCCGAGGGTTAAAGACATATATCCATGTATTTATATTTATCTTTATATCTATATACGCCATCTGTCTCCCTCTGAGAGTCTCAGTCAGAACACAGGCTGGAACAGAATAACAGAAACAGCCGGTGGCGTCGTCTTCATCTTCACACGTCCGTCACTCAGCAGCGCGTGCTGTTCCAGCCGTGCCAGACATGTTCAAACAGCCAACGGCTCCGTCTTCCTTCCTCCTGACACAGACAGACGGGTGACAAATTAAAGGAAAATCCTGAATAAATGAGCGGAGAAACATAACGAGCACAGAGTCGGATGCAGGAGCTTCAGTCAGAGAGACTGATCCACTGTTTCAGCAGGAACAGGGACTAAAGTGACCTCTCTGATCAGGCCTGTGGGACAGACGTCAGTAAACAGTTGCAGATTAAACGTATCAGGAAACCAGCTGGAGTGATTATAAACACAAATAAGTCCATTCATCTCCAAATCATCAATGTTCATCTTAAATCTCTCTCTTTGCCGTTTCGTTAGCTACTAGCTCATCGAGATTGTTGTCTGTGTTGCTATGGTGACCAGCAGTCTGCGCTGATCTTCAGGGTTAAAGGGTGAATTAGCAGTTCTACATTAACTCCAGAGTTTAAGACCATTTATTGTTAAACTGTGTTGAACGATCAGCAGAGCTTTATTTTACTGTAAAGGAGGATTATTTTATTTTTACCTACTAATCTGATTCTGTGGAGCAACAGGGCAGTGAAAGAGCTGCATGTCGCTGACCCCTGCCTTAGAGGAAAAACTGCTCATCAGTAGTCATAGTGGTCTCTTCCAGGTGCCCCCTCCACAAGGTATGAGGGGTCACTGAAAGTTTGAATGAGTGTGAAAATGGTGTAAATATAATGCCGTGGCCTTCGCAGTCACCAGAGCTCAGCCCAGTTGAGCACCTATGGGAGATTTTGGAATGACATGTTTGCCCACATTCTCCACCATCATCGCCACAGCACCAACTGAGGGAACATGTTAAGGAAGAACAATGTTCCATCCCTCTAGAACGGTTCCAGACTTGTAGAATATATCACACAGTGCTCTAAAGCTGGTCTGGTGGCCGAACACCTCACTAAGACACCTTAGTTTGTTTGTCTTTGATTTGTCACTCGTCTGAAAATCTGAAATCATCTCTTGGCTTTTTCAATGTCCTTAACTGCTCCTGATGTCAGACTGGGAAGAACTCCTAAAGGAGAGCGAGGCGCTGATATCCACACACGCGAGCGCTGTTCCAGACACTAACGTCTACCTGCTGCGGCTGCTGGACATGGCCATGGACGCCTGCATCAGTCTGGATCAGTACGAGAAAGCGCTGGAGTTCGGGAAGAGGACGCTGGGACCGTATCAGTGAGTGTCTCTCTAACACTTTCACGCATGCAGAACAGATATCATTAGGAGTGATCTCTGTTTGGGCTGTAATGTCAGTTTATATGGGACGTGTGATTTTAGTAATCTTGCTCTTTGGTGACTCTCATCGTTTTCGGCCAGTCTGTGGTTTATATACTCACACTGTATGAAAATGCTCGGTCTGACTGACCTGCTGTGATGTGGCCATTCACACTGCAAATAAACCAAGCTGTTTTATTCAGGCCGACGCGCTGGGCGTCCGAGTCCTGGACAAAAACATTGAGAAACTGAGCTACAGCAGATTCGCAAAATGTGCCACACTGTGCACTGGAATTAAACACAGGCGCTGATGTCCATGACAGGACGGTACAGTCTCTTCACAGACATTACTAAAAATAAACATATTAACGTTTTTGTTTTGTTTTTTCATTTTTTTTTTAGTACCAGAGCATCGCATACATTAACTTTTCCCCTTCCCTTCTTCCCTTTCTGTTCCACCCCACCCACCACCTCCCGCTTTCCACAGAATAAATCAAATAAAATAGGATTAGTAAATAAATAACGATGATAAAAATAAAGGAAAAAATAAAAAAATAATTTTGACAGAATGTTGATAACAATAATCCAGCCATGGCCGCTGAGTTATTAGGATCTGCTCTGCACTCTTAAACAAGATGGTTCTTCAAGGGTTCTTTAGTGAAGAAAATGGTTCTGTATATAACCATGAACATTCAAAGAAAGGTTTGCATGATTAAAGGGTTCTTTGTATCATGAAACGGTTCTTCAGATTGAAAAGGGTTCTGTATTGCACCAAAAAGGGTTCTTCTATTGTTATGGTGTCAAGCTTGTTGAAATACCAGAACCCTTTTTGGTGCTGTATAGAACCATATACAACATGTTCTCCATCAATCTGACGAACCATTTTCAGATGCAGAGAACCCTTTAATCATGTTAAGCATTCTCTGAATGTTCCTTTTTTTATATAGAACCATTTGTTTTGCTAAAGAACCCTTGCAGAAGCACCTTTTTTAAGAGTGTAGATGAGGAGAGTGTCGCACATCAGGAACACGTTTTTTGGCTCCTCTGGTCATGAATGAACATATTACTGTTTAATCCTCGTATCTGCAGTAGAAGGTGGTCCGCTGTGTTCTCTAAGGACGCTCTACTCTCTGTCTGTCTGTCAGTCCTGGTACAGCAGGAATTACAACCAGAATCTCCTTTATTCCACCACTGACATTCATGATCTATAGCTGGATAAACGGTTCTGTTTGTGGAGATGTTGAATATGTTGTGGAGATGTTGATGTATGTTTGCAGTGTTGAATAAAATAACTGTCCATTATTAGTCAAAAGCCGTTCATTATAGAGTTTTGCTTCAACACCCAAGATGTCACACTTTCGAAAAGCAACAAACATTACAGTTTTGGCCTGTTACTGCTGCACTCTCACAAATAAAGGTACTGAACTGTCACTGGGTCAGTTCCCCTCTTGTCACTGGGGTGGAACCCTCAAGGCTCCATCTCAGTACCTTTAGTCAGGGAACATAACTGAACCATAATCCACTGAATGATATGTTCTAAGCTGTACTGACTCCACACACCCCGTCTCGTCTCCAGGCTTTTATTTTACTGTTCTGTTTAAAACATTCGGTTATGAAAAGGTACAAATACGAACTTTTCACCTGGAGAAACTTATTTAAGGTTCACAATCAGACCTTAAACCCACTGTTGGAGCTTTGAGGGAACATTTACACTGTTTGTACCTTGATGAACGAGAAATGTTCCTGAACAGAACCTTTATTAATAACAGTGTATGATGATACGCAGCTGTAGTGCTCATATAGTTATATTCCATGAGGTTTATTAAGGCGTCCAGGACACCCCAGGACCCCTGTGTTTGGATGAGGCCCAAAATTTCCACCAGCACCTCTTTGAGTAGAAAGATATTGCTTCCAAACTCTTGGCCTGTAGTGAAGGTCTGTCCTCATGGTTTGTCCTGTTTTCTCTGAAACTCTGTTCTCCTCGATTTCCTGCAGAGAAATTAGGTAATGCACTGAAAAGTTTAGAGAGTAAACTGATCTGAACACATTTCTCCCCCTTACATGCCTCTGTGTTTAACTCTCCCGCTGCTTTAGCGTCTCCAGCCTTTCCTGAAAGCCAGAAATAGATGAAGATGAAACTTTAAATCTGACAGCAGCAGATATCTGGAGGTGTTTAGCGTCACTGTGGTCTTTTTTCACACTGTTTAATTCAGCTTTAATCACAGGCTGCAGTTAGCGCGCCGCTGTCTCTGAGAGCTGTTCAGCGCCGCCGTGACTTCATTCATTTTTCATGAGTTCTTATCTGTACCTGAGCTGTAACATCACGCCGCCTCTGAGCTCCGCCGGCGTAACACTTAATCATTTAGCGTCACCCAAAAACTTTTCATAGCTGTGGTTTTCAACTTGCTCAACAAGTAACAAACCCCGGTGGTCCTAAAGGAGAAAACTGAGGGATGAAAAACAGTAGCATGTGAATCAAACCGTCTACCTGCTTTTACAACCACAGCAGCAGTGTTTTCTCCTCACCTACCGTTTTTAATCCTTTTCCTCAGCAGCCATAAAATGCAGTTTCTGCCTGTCCGGTTCTCCCTCAGTTGAGCTCAACTCAGCATTTGTTTTTCTTCAGTAACATTGAAGGAATGTATTTGTGTGATTTTCGAAATCAGAAGCTGGATTTTGGTCTGGTGAACAAACAGGTCAACATTTGTAAAAGTAAGTAAGTAAGTAAAGTTTATTTATATAGCACTTTTTATAACAGGTGTTGTCACAAAGCAGCTTTACAAGGAAATCAGCATTACAGAAAGAAGTCCGGGTCCGAGCCCCCATGAGCGTCGCCAGTGGCGACAGTGGCAAGGAAAAACTCCCTAAGAGAAACAGGAAGAAACCTTGAGAGGAACCAAGACTCAGAAGGGGAACCCATCCTCCTCTGGTCGACACCGGATAGTAAACATTGTTAGTACCAAATCAGGGAAAGCAGTGTTGTTAATGTGTTTAAATGCTGTGTGTTTATTGTGTCTGTTGTGCGAAACTGTTTGAGATGAAAAAAGCTGCAGTTGATCGTTTTAACTTTATCTTTGTGGAGAGGTGTGAATAGTTCTTCACAGCAGGGGTCTCTCACCCCTCCCCTTTCACCCCTCATTGCTCACTAGCAGCTCAACAACATTTCACACTCAGAGAGACGACAGAGTCCTGTTTCATCTGATAACAGACTTATGAATTGGACTATATTAGTAAAAAATATCAGAGTCTATTTCCATTCCGGCAACAGAATGGCCACTAGGGGGTGCTATAGAGAGAGGCTATGATGAGTATGGTGCAATTCATATATTTATTTTAGTCAATCATGAAGTTAATTTTGGGGTCTGAAGTTTGTTTCTTTAGTTTGAATACTGGAGCTATAAGGCTAATGTAGCTAACAAGAAATGGAAATGTATGTCCCACCAATTAGCATGGCGCATAAATCATCACACTCGCCTCAAAGCGTGTGGTGTTCAGTATCTCATAGTCCTGATTATGTGGTTTCTGACACTGTATGACTCAGTGTTACATATAAACATGGAGAAAAGTAAACAGAGCAGTAATAACAGCCATCTTGAAGTATGTGTCGATTTTATTAGCCTCGTAGCTCCAAAGCATAAGACACCAAACGTGTTGGCTGATCGACTATATTTGGGTGAAAGGAGGGAGGAACTGAGGAATTTTGATTTTTTGCTGATCAGATAAATGTTACCCATGTGCTGCTCACATGAGCTGCTGTGTAACCTTTACTGAGTATGCTTGGTCAGCTCCTCTGAGGATCTTTGTTAATATAGAACAATTGAATCTGTTCAGAAAGGGCAGATCCCCAGCGACCCACTCTGCTGATGATTCATCGCCTCAGTCATTCAGTCTGCGCAGCTCTGCGGTCAGTCTGGACGGCCAGTTCAGTTACGTTTGTATAGCAGTGTAGATGTTGGCACTAAGCAGCTTTCCAGGAAACGGGTGCTGCCCCTCGTTGTTTCATTAGAGCGTCGTTTGTATGGAAAGCTACTGATCGTCATGCTTTGGGCTGTGTAGACTTTTAGATACAGTGCAATAGATTTAAAAACTCTTTCATCCCCGGCGCAGTTCCACTGTTGAATAATCAGTGTTTTGGATGTATGTACACTATATGGCCAAAAGTATGTAAACACCTGACCATCACACCTATATGAGCTTGTTGGACGTCCCATTCCAAAACCATGGGCATTAATGTGGAGTTTGCAGCTGTAACACATATAGCCTCCATTCAGCTTCCTACAAGATGTTGGAGTGTCTGTGGGCGTTGTGTCCATTCAGTCTAAAGAGCATTTGTGAGGTCAGACACTGATGTTGGACAAGAGCGCCTGGCTCTCGATCTCCATTCTAGTTCATCCTAAAGGTGTTCAGTGGGGTTGAGGTCAGGGCTCTGTGAGGCCACTGGAGTTCCTCCACACCAAACTGGTCACTCCATGTCTTTATGGAGCTGCTTTGTGCTCAGGGGTCTCAGTCCTGCTGGAACAGGAAAGGCTCTTCCCCAAACTGCTGACACAAAGCTGGAAGCAGAGAACTGTGTAAAATGTCTTTGTGCTGCAGCATCAACATCACCCTTCACTGGAACTGAGGAGCCCAAACCCTGAGAAACAGCCCAGCCCATCATCCCTCCTCCACCAAACTCTACTGTTGGCTCTGCATTGCATTCTCCTGGCATCCACCAAACCCAGATTCATCATCAGAGTCCGGTGGCAGTGTGATTTACTCCACTCCAGCCGAGGCTTGGCATCGTGCATAGCGATCTTAGGCTTGTGTGCAGCTGCATTCATGCATAGAAACCCATTTCATGAAGCTCAGTTCTTGTGCTGATGTTGCTTCCAGAAGCAGTTTGGAACTCAGTAATGAGTGATGCAACAGAGGATAGAGGATTTTGTTTATGTTTATGGAGGCTGCAAGTCTATGTGCTTGAT